GAGAGAACGGCTTCTTCGAGGCTTTCGAGGCGTTTCCGTCACAGCAGGCGGCTGGAAGCGTTGCTGTCCGAAAGGGCGTCATTCTTGCGAACGGGAATAGCTGCATTCTTGCGTGTCCCTGCTATAACCCAACGAAGAAAACCAGCGTTGCCTTTAGCTCTTATCGCACCATTGGACACCAGCCCTCTTCCTATATTTTCTTCTGTCACAGGCGTGTTCGCTGACTGACGGTGAAGCAAGTACCGCGGGGCTTTGATTGTCAGAACCATTCCTTCGAACTTCTCCAGCACACTGCTTCCCCAGCTGAATGTGTCCCGTGAACAGATCGCAAAACACCAAGGACCAGTGATTCCATGCGAATGCCCTGATGGTGCCAAGCCAAATCTACAGATGCTATACAGCAATCCAACTCGCGAGCTGTGGTACAGAGTGACTTCGTCCTCCACCACAGAACTTCCATCTTGATATTGGTGTTCTGTGATGTGCTTCATGGGAACAGTCAAAATTTGTCCAACTACATTTGATGTCAGCCACTTGTCCCTGCTTGCTTCAATGGCTTCAAATAGTGCAGTTGGGTCAAGACCTCCATCAATGCTTGACACGTCGTAATCATACAAAGTTTTACATTTTCCATTTTCCCATTCAATCTTATAACGGCGATTTTGAACTGAACCTTGATGGTGTTCTACAAGTTCACGCACAGAGTGGATCTCTGCACTTATGCGTTCCGGCTGCAAAAGCTCTGGTTCAACAATTGGAGCTGGGGCACTGGGAATATACAAGTCCTGACTGTGCAAGGACATCACTGTCCCTTCATCCTCGTTCAGATCTGCATCCGTATGCATGTCAAAACAAACTTCTTCAGAAACCTCTGTCGTGCCCCCGGCCAAATCCCGAACCCACTGTGGCCGGACGAAGTTGATTGGGACAAACAGATCGCGTGCTGGAGCACTTTGTCCCCTTGCACTACCACTGGACGCATGGCCTGCCATCACTACTGAAGTGCTGGTGGCAGCTTCTGCATCCTACTGCAGCTAAAATGAAACCGTTGGACGCCATTTGAACTTATAACTTGCATATCTTTGCAAGATAAAATATACTCCTACACGATAAAAGAAAAACTTTGAATGTAATACCGTACAAACACAATGTGATTCGGTACGTACATCTATATTTTATTATCATAGCAGATCTTCCATGGTTGCTTGCACCTACTTAAGAGATTTGCTCAGGAGTGATACATCACACGCAATGCAGCTAAGGGTATTCAGCATACACATTAACATACTTCCACTCCCCCACAAACGGCTAGCAGTACCAAAGCACAATGGCTTGGATGATTCACTCCAAAGATCCAAAGCAACAAGGGTGGTTCCAATTTTTGGAGACAAGAAAGGCAAAGACAGTGGTCCCAAAACTCAAATACGCAAGTTGTGTAATTGTGTATCTGCATGCAGTTGTACTGACTTGAGTGACGGAAGAGCTTGTGCCATCTGCGCAAGTCGATTCCATCAGTGCAGCAAGTCTAAGTCATGCCAAGATGCAGACATGTTAACACCAATCCTTCCATTTTTTCCACCGCCTGTCTGCACATCCAATTTGTGCAGCACAAGTTCGATCTGCTCATCTGTTTGTCATTGGTCATAGCTTGACTACGTATCATTTGATATTAAAAGAATGTGATCACCTCACAGCTGTTGCTCACTGCTACTTTTTGGTGGACTGTATAATTAACACCCATCTAACACCTGCTGGACAGTTCTCCTTCACCACACAAACTAGTTTGGCTCAATCACACACTGCTTCTTCTTATTACTAAAACAAAAAGAAACATGAAAGCATGTCAAAGTGAAAGAGCCGAAAGCGCCGACTGCTTGGGCAAACAATACCTACCAACTCCGTTCTGCCTGCCTCAATCAATTCGCAAGTGGACACCACTCAAGGTTTTTACACGAGGTCTGCTAGTCCAGCGGATTCCGAGGGTTAGACATTTAGAGCTGGATCCAGCCTCCTTCCAAACCCCGTAACGAATCTGCATGACAGCTTCC